CCCTCGCTGCTTCCCAAAACCTCCATGTCGTGATTACCGTTACCTAGTGCCTCATCTGCCAGCCCTGTGCATTCGATGTATTTTTCTCTCATCCTCAGCACAGCCTGGTAAAGTAGACCTTTTGATTATCTAATGTGACACAACAAACTACCCCAAAAGCGAATAACTTAAAACACCAGCCATTTATCCTCATGATTCCATGGGTTGATTGGACAGTCCTTCTGCTCCATGGGACTGCACTCAGCTGAAGGCTCGGTTGGGGGTCAGTCCTCCTGCAGTGATGTCTCTCCTCCTCCTCCAAGTCTTCTCCACGTGGCCTTTCTCTCCAGTAGAATAGCCCAGACTTCCTCCTTAAAGCACAGCAGCTCAGTTCCAAGAGGGACAGTTCCGAGAGGAGATGCCCCTTCAAGTGCTTGTGAATGCACTGCCTGCATTGTGCTTGCTAATGTCCCATTGGCCAAAGCACATCACACAGCCGAGCCCAGAGTCAGTGTGATGGGGGGTGACTATCACGAAATAATCTGCACAGTAGGTACCATTAATCCCTCTTTTGTAGATAAGGGTACTGAGGCCCAGAGAGGTCAAGCCCCTTGCCCAAAGTCATTCTGCCTAGCCAGGAACAGAGGGCCCAGGTCTGTTGCCTTCAGGAAACGTGTTCTTTGCTGACAATACTGGGTCAACTGATGCAGTTGGAGGGTGTACAGTGGGGGAGGGGCAGGGGCCAGGAGCCCAATGTAAATGACGGCTGAGCTTCCAGGCCTCTTTAACCCAGAGGACGGCCCTGCAGATTTCCCTGGCCCACCTGGAGAGTGCTCTCTCTGACGGTTCCGCCCAGCAGGTCAGAGCCATGGGGCTGTGTGAGGCCACAGGCGGCCCTGAGAGGCATTGAAAACACGTTCCAGGCCACAGTTTGCAGTCTGGCTCTGTGGCCCCTTCCCCCAGCCTTGTTCCTCTCCCGCCTTAACTCTAAGATGGCTTCTGCAGCATGGCCTTGCCTGTCCTTATTCACTATTTGGAATGCCTCCCATTTTAAAAACTAGTTGATGTTTCCTATGAGAATGAGGAGCCCTCCTGGGCACTGCAGCCTCTGCTTCCCCTAATCCCAGCACCTACCACACTGGGCACTTCTCCATCTGCCCTCCTCTGCAGTGACCTCTACAGCGCAGGGGCCTTTAGGACCCATCGCTGGCTCTCCACACCCAGCAAAGACTGGATTGAACATAAGAGTATTCCTCCTGGGGACTGCTCCAAGTCTTAGCACAATGCTCTTGTTTTTTTCTGCAGCCCCCAAAGATTTTAGCAGACATCCACTGGGTGTCCTGCCCTGGGCTGAGAAACAAGGGGACACTGAGTCAGGCAAAGCCCATGCTCCAGCCAAAATTCTTTCCCTCAATAGCTGGGTGACATTGAGAAAGTCACTTAACGTCTCGGAGCTCAGCCTCCCTGTATATCCAATTCAGATAAGAGTAGCCTGTTCTGTCCAATTCATCAGGATCAGAGTCAACAGGAACTCGAGGTTGAGAATGTGTCTCCTTTGGAAACTGGCATAGCCTTTGTGTGTTAGGGATCCTTGTCATTAAGGGATCTGATTTGTAGAGCTCTAAGAAAGGATTCTCTACACCCAAAGAATCTCCCGCTCCTTGCATCCTTAGTCTATCACAGTGCCTGAAATTCTGCCATCCAGCGTTCTATGGGTAAGGTATTTTTATTATTTATATCCAAAAGGTGCCAAATGACCTGGAAAGGGTGATGCGTGAGCCTGGGTGCAAAGCCTGCTTTACCATTAATGAACGTGTGTGTCACACTCATTCTGACACTGGTGTTGGAAAATAAATAGGGGTGAGCTTTCTGAAGGCGAAGTTGGCAATACTTAACCAAAAGCCTTAAAAATATGCACACTCTTTCATGCAACAATTGTTCCTCTGGAAATTTATTCTAAAGAAACGATGTGTTCAAAACTCTGTATACAAGGAAGTCTTAGTTCTAGTAGCACAGAATTGTAAATACCCTAAATGTCCAAGAATAGGTAATTGGCTAACTAATAATATGTGTGTACAGTGACGTACTCCCAGGACCAGCTCTGGGGGCCTGTGGTCAGTGCAGTCGCACAGGGTCCCAAGCTCAGAGGGCCCTGATGTCACCATCATAATATTCTTAATTTTTTTTTAAAAAAGGAGTCCCTTATTTTCATTTTGTGCTGGGCCCCCCACAAATGATTAGCCATTTCCTAAATATTATGTAACCATTAAAATAATGCGTGAAGAGAATATTTGTTGAAGTGGAAAATTAATGAAGAAACCATAAATGATGCAATCATAATTTTTTAAAAACAGAAACACACACACACACACACACACACACGTGGACACTTTAGTCAATGTTGCTCAAGCAGTAGTTCACCGTAATCAGAAGTGTCTGGACGCTGATGGTAACTACTTTGAGCTCCTCTTGTAATTGCAGAAGTCAAACATGACTTGTATTCATCCTTTGTTATTAGTATATATTGAGTATTACAATTTTAATAGGTTTTCCCTTTCTTAAAATGTGTATACATTTTTTGGGGCACCCCCGGTATATATATATTTCAATGACTAGACAGAAGTACAACAAAATGTTACAGTAATTATCTCTGAAGCAGCAAGATCACAGGTATTATTTTTATTACTGTGTTCTTCTTTGAGCATTTCTTGTTTTCCGGTACAGACAGTGTGAATGTACTCATTGACTCTCGTATTTCCGACAGAGGCAGAAGTGTGTATATCGTAGCTGAGAAGCAGCAATTCTCTCTTGACCTCCGATTGAGTCTGGAGCCCTCAGTGTGCAGACTAGACTTCTGGATAAACACATGAAGAGAAATTTAGTTGATAAGGAAGCCACATGTTCGTAGGAGCTCCTTGAAGTCAAGAACTGTCTGATTTCTCTTCCCTTCCCAGGCCAGGCATGGACAAGGCGCCTAGTGACCGGACATCATGTCTTGTGGCCTGAGGTCATTAGTAGTGTTTGCCCATGACACACCTCGCTGGACATTAACATCATTATGTTCTGACTTGGAGGTGGGACCTTCTGTCTGGCTTGGGGCTGGACATGTGCCCTGAGTGATCTCTGGACCAGGGAGAGGAGCCACCCCCAACCCAAGTCCTCCTGTGTCCCATCTCCTTCTGGGAACAGGCTCCAGGATCAGAGGTCGGATTTATTTCTGTGCAAAGCTTGGGAAACACACCTGGCTCCACCTGCCACACTTGTGCATGTGTTTCATTGCAGGCGTCATCCCAGCAGCAGAGGGCAGTAGCGATCAGCAAGCCCAGGATAGAGATGGGTTGGGGAGGTAGGGAAAGGTGGTCCTTCTATAAAGAGTGGCCCCACTCACCCCATACCCCTTTCTCAGGTTTCTCCTTCTCTCCAAAATCCTTATCTGGCTGTTGCTGACTGTCCTGACTCAGCTGAGCAATGCCAAGAACACAGGACTCTTAGAGCCTTACCTCTGTAAAGCCAGAGCCTCTGAGGTAATGGCCTCTGACCCCCTTTTATATGACAGAGGGGAACACTGGGGCCCAGAGAAGGGACTTACTCAGAGTCAGACAGTGAACAAGGAGCAAACGGAGTCCTAAAGGCTACAGAGGGAAGTTAGAGCTCATAATGTGGAGTTGCCCCATACAGAAGGGTTGTTCAAAGGAAGGCAGGTGGCTGCAAATAGGGGAGGTACCCACTGCACCTGCACACATGTCCCAGTGTAGACCCAGAGCTCCTGGACTGTCTCACCCCTAAATTCCAACACTCTGAGCCCAGTATTTCCGGGTAGGCCCTTGCCACTCCAATAAGGCTGTGATAGCTCCTGTTGGCACAGGCTGGGCCTCCTGCTATCTGCCTTCCCTTCAGCACACTTCGCACCTAGCAGGACACCCAGTGATCAAGGAAGATGTGAGGGCTCAAAGGTGGTGGGTGGGGAGCACCAGCAGGGCAGGAGGCTTCCTCCTGTTTCTCCCATGGTTCCCTGGAGCCCTTCCAAGGAGCTTCCTGAGCACGTCTCCTGGACACAAATGTGCTGTCCCGTCTCTATGCTTTCATCTCGTGGTGGTCCCCCAAGAAACCCTTTCCCCAGCACCATCTTTCCTCTGTTTCAACTCCATTCTTCTGTCCTTCAAGGCCCAGCTCTGGTACCTCCTCTTCCCAGAACCTCCCTTCTCTTTCATCTGGGCTCCTGCAGCCTCTGGGCTCTAACTGGTGACACTAGGCACCTAGGAAAACGCAGTCCAGTTAGGAGGGGGACTTCAGAGACCCACAGGTCTGTGTTCTGACCTGGCTCTGCCATTGACCATCTGGATGAACTTGGCAAGTCCCTTAACCTGATCTGTAAAACAGAGATGCTAATCCATGCTCCAAATGGACAGGCAGGAGGGTTTAGAGACAGCACAGGGAGTGCCTGGAAGAGCTGCCGTTCATACCTGCAGTTGGTTGTTTATATCTGAGGTCGTTTTCTGTGAGATGAACAGCTCTGTGAGGGCACGGGTGGGGTCTTCTTTGTGTCAAAACTTTGCAAATGTTGAAACAATGAATGAATGAGTGAGTGAATGAATGAATGAATGAATGAATTCTGGGGCTAGGCAGGGAGCTCTGTGAAGCATGCCTCTCCCCAGCAAGATGCAGTACAGCAGCCTGCACGCCCCCCACACCCAGTGTGCGCTGAGCCCTCGGAAGCTCATCCTCCCTTCCCAGCCCTATTTTCAGCCATTGCACTCAGAGCCCCACTCCAATGACTTTTCCCTCTTCTAATTACCCTTTTAAATGAAATTTATAAAGGTTTCTGTAAATTGTAAAGCTGATTTGCATATTTTAATAAGAGTACGTGATGGACAGGGAGTATTAGGCTGCAAATATTCTGTAATGAAATTGACTCGAGCACACCCTGGATTATCAAGGTTGGGGCCTCCCCTCCCCAAGCCTCCAGGAGCTGCGTACTCAAGACTAACAACTGTGGTGTTTGTTTTTTTTTTGCATGGCAGACCACGGTGAGCTGGGATGGGGACAAGCTCGAGTGTGTGCAGAAGGGTGAGAAGGAGGGACGCGGCTGGACCCAGTGGATTGAGGGTGACGAGCTGCACCTGGTAGGTTTCTGGGGTTGGGGGGACGTAGGGCAGGCCAGGCTGGGCCCCAGAGGCCCTGGTCACTGTTGAAGTCTGGATGGACCCTGAAAGAATGCCTATATAGCTGGGCTTGGCTCTCCTCTGAAGTTTCCCTTCCAAGGGCCTGGAGAAAATGGTTGAGTGACTTTAAAAACTGAGCTATGTGTTCTCAAGATCTAGGCTGACCCGGTCGTCCAATCAGAGGGAGGAGGTGAGCAGGTGCATGTGCTAATCTGCTAGGCATCAGACATGGAGCTAAATTAGCCCTTTTGCATTCTGTATCTGCTGACTAGTCTCCCAGCAGTCCCGTGGGGCAGGTACTGTTACAGTTCCTATTTTTAAGGTGAGGACATGGAGGTTCACATCCAGGTTACACAGCTAGAGAATGGCAGAACTAAATTTGGTCCCAAATGATGTCTATTTTCACCATACCAAATTGTGGCGGACAAGAACCGAGGAGAATTCTCTAAGCTTCTCTAAGACATGATCTCAACAATCTATGTCTAGAGAGGAGAAGCGTTTCTCAGCTCCAGTGTGGGCCCCACTCACCCTGTCCTCCAGCCTGGGACCTCTGGTCAAAGCCACTTCTACTCCATCTATCGTTTTGGAAAAGCATGTGCAAATCCAGAGTAGAGGCCTTAGCCCCTGGAAGGCTAAACGAAAATGTGTCCCCTGAAAGGAGGCCTCCCATCACTCCTTCTGCCTCCAGGTACTCCCCAACTACCTACCTCCTGAGAAAGGAGTCCGGTCCGGTGACCTGGGTTCTAACCCTGACTCACTTGGTGCCTTTGGGTAGGTGCCTTCCTTCCCTCAGCCTCGTCTGCAAAATGCCATCCTACCACATGGGGTTCTGCAAAGATCAGGGCCGGCAGGAGCTCTGGGATGGACATGTGCATCCTGAGAAGAGGCACAGGGGCGTTATTTCAGAGGCAGCTTAGGATACAAAGAACCTGGGCTGCGATGCCCGACCTTTAGCATCTCCTCCGTGGACCTCTACTTCCTCAACTGGAGAGCAATAAAGGTAGATTATGTGATCTCCACGGGCCCTTTCAGCTCAAGAGTTCTGTGGCTTTGTGCCAGAGACTGCAAACTAGGGGCCACAGGTCTTTTATCTGGCCATCATTGGACTTCGAACTTCTTTAACCAACAATTTAAAAATTACAAGATGCCACATAAATATTCTGATTTCCAGCCTCCTTAAAAAAAAACAAAAAAAAAACCTTGGAAGATGTGACAGCACTGTGCTGTCATTCCCCCTGGCGGCACTCAGCAGGGGCTGCCCTGTGGGCAGGGCATGGGCTTTCCTGGCTATATTTTAGTACTATCTGGCCTCTTTCAATAATAGCAACTTCAGTGCTCCAGCCACTGAGGTACTGATACAAGTGGCCTAGCTGGGCCCAGGCATTTTTCAAACTCCCGAGGTAACTTAAACTTGCAGCTGAAGCTAGGAAACACCATGCTAGTTTACAACCCTAGTCTGCAGCGACTTATTGAGCCCTTTAGGGGTCGAGCCTTGTATCTGGCCCTGATTTCTTCCCTGCCTGGGCACAGACTCTCCTGGGACCAGGCCTGAGGTTCTTAAAGCCTTTTGGCCCCTTGAGAGAGAGGGGAGGCATCAGAGGATCCTACTGGTCAGCTCTGAGCCACGTCTGTTTCCCAACCAGCTCTGTCTACAGGCCGAAACAGAGACCAGTCTCCACTGATCCAGTTCAGCTGACTTTCCAAGGAACAGGTTAGTTCAAACCAACTCTTGGGAAAAATAGCAGTCACTGAGTATTTTCAAAGTTCCTGGCCCTAGATCACCAAGCCCCAAGTGTGACCTTGCTCTGGCCGATGACAAGCATCTGCTTTTGTTTCAGGAGATGAGAGTGCAGGGTGTGGTCTGCAAGCAAGTATTCAAGAAGGTGCATTGAAGCCTGGGCAGGCCTTGGTCTCCAGGAATGAGCGGCATGGACGTGTGGGCCAGGAAGCCCCTCTGCACAGCGTGGGGCAGGAATGTCTAGCCACCCCCACGTATCTGTTAGCAGTCTTTCTTGGCTTTGTCCCTTTTCCTTTTCTTAAAACAAAGCCATCCAATAAAAGTGATTTCTGCTCGAGATGTCTGTTTGGGAGGAGCTTCAAAACCCCGCTGTGCTCACTGGGCTTCTGAAGTCAGCCTCTCCTGATGCCAGCCCTGCACAGAAGGGAGAACTTTAGCCACTAAATGCCTACAGATTCAGTCATGACATTATACCTGTGCAGTCTTTCCCCAGGGCAGAGGCTTGGGCCTGGGGGGTGTGGCCTAACGTTCAGTCATCTATGTACCTACCACATTACGTGTCCAGCCAGGGTCAGAGTGCAGTGAGTGCCACGGAAGCAGAGCAGGCGCCCTCCACGCTGGGAACTTGGAGCCTAGTTAAGGAGATCTGACCAACAGAAATTTCTAACTCTGCGTGTGCACATAGGAGAGGCTCTACAAATTATTTGTGCAGGAAATGAAACTGGAGAGACTCATAAGACCAAAGCTAGAATAAGGTGAACCTTAACCAAAGGCAATGACCAACTGGATTTTATTTCAGAGGTGTCGTCAACACAAACTTCACCCACCCCCACCCACCTCCACCCACCTCATCTATGGACTGATGTAAAGCCTCCCTTTTCACTGTGATGGATGAAACTTAACTTGCAAATTCCCCCAGGAGAGGGAAAGCTACCTCACATTCACACTAAAGTGTAAATGATTGTTAGTTGTGCCTTAGCATAAAGAAACATGGAAACTGAAGGGTGAGTGGGAAGGTGGGAGACCGTGGACAGAAAAAACCACTGGGTAAGGGAAAACTTACATCAAGTCGGCCTGAGGTGCTCTGCCCCTTGGGATGAATACAGGCCTCTGCCACTAGATGGCAGTAGTACCCTCCACCCAAGTTGGTAAATATGTGGACAGAGGCCAAGGGTGCTGCTAAACATTCTGCAGTGCACAGGGCAGCCCCCCACATCAAAGAATTATCCAGCCCAATATATCAAAAGTGACATGGTTGAGAAGCCCTGCCTTAGACAAATGGAAGAAATGTTTGGGTTTTTTTGTATTATCAAATTCATTTCCCTAGCCAAACCAAGGAAATGAAAACCCAGAATTGCCTGAGGTTTGGGAGACCCCTTCAACTTTGTGGCCCTGGTCTCTCTCCCTGAGCATAGAGAACCCAAAAGCAAAAGTTCTTGTAAAGACCATTCATTCATTCAGCACACAAATGTTTAATGAAGACCTATTATGTGCCAAGCGCTGAGTTAGTGTCACACCTGTTGGGCATCCAGGATTTCCCATCCCAGGTATTGAGACCCCCATCAGGCCACCCCAGTACAGAAATGCCTCCCCCAACAGTTAAGTTCTGATGGAGGAATCAAAAGTCTGGCCATGCTGGCGTGAGTGTGCGTGTGATGGAGGATTGATGGCCCCACACTTGGGAGCCTCCGGTCCCGTGAGAGACTGCCCCACTCTGAATAGCCTGCAATACCAGGGCCTATTTTACTGGCAGTTGGAGCCACAGGAGGATTTTGAGCAGGAGAGTGGCCTGGCCTTTCAGCAGAACTAACCTGGTAGTCGTTCTCTCAGTAGTAAGAAAAGAACAGAGCAAGAATACCAATTGGGGCTCGGCACACGGCAGTCACATTTAATTCAAAATTCACTTCATATGAGACTAATCTTCCCAAAGAAGTATATGTAAAGTGGGAAGGATGTTTCTTATTGTGCCTAAATCTGGAGCCACAGAAGCAGGCCTGTGGCTTCAATGATGCTTTCCATTTGCTCAGCACCAGCTCCAGTATTTTGCAGGGGGCTTACTCCTGACTGTGGCAGCAGCATGTGTCACCTTGTTCAGCCTTCTCTATGGCTTTTAGCACCTCTCAACTCCAGTCCTAAGCTACTGGTGTTAGCTCCATATTTGGAACACTACTGCAAACTCTACCGCTTAACGGACATTTGGATGCCATTGTTCAGGATATGAAAAAGAGTTCCAATTATAGCAACAGTGTCTGATAACATACCTGGGCACCAGTAATGGACTTACTGAATTTCCAAAGCATGGCAACAACACTGTGATGCCACAGGACTGACCAGCTCACCTGGTGACACTAGGCTGTGGAAACCGCATCACTGCAATTCGTAAAAGGCCCAGGGGGGCCTGCCAACTTGGAAAGGTTTTTTGACATTTTTTGAACTGAAGAGTTACACTATTTCAAAATACACTCTAAGTGGAGCTTATCAGTATATTTACATCACATAATTTCAAATTTTCAGAAACTAGGACCACCGTGTGCTGCAACTCAGGCAGGGAGTACTGAGGCCAAACCTAGGGCAATGGGAGGCCCTGGCTGAGCAAAGGCAGCGGGGAATGGCAGCTGAGCACCCACGCTCTGCAGCCATGCAGCCCGGGTTCAAATCTCGACTGTTACTTCCTCGCTCTGTGAGGTTGAAGCGAGTCGTGCAACCTCTCTGTGCATCAGGTTGTACACCTCTAAATCGAGGCTAACAATTTCTTAAATGAATCGAATATGTGTAAGCAACTTAGACTAGATATATGGTATATTTTATTTGAAAGAGTTTTTGTTGTTGTTTGTTTTTTTTTTTAATCGGGGAACAGTGTGTTTTTCCAGGACCCATCAGGTCCAAGTCAAGTAGTTCTTTCAATCTAGTTGTGGAGGGTGCCGCTCAGTGGCCCATGCAAGGATTGAACCGGCAACCTTGGTGTTGTGAGCTCTAACCAACTGAGCTAACCGACCACCCCTTGAAAGAGATTTGAAGAATGCCTGGCATACAGCAAGCCAATCTACGTGTGGGTTAACAAAAACAGAGATCTGAGAGGCACTTCGGGGGCGGAATCAACATGACTTCATTGCCACTGACACAACATGGTGGGGGTGACAGAAGAATAGGAAGAGCTGAAGCTCAGGGGCAGCAGGGAGGCATCTAGCAGAAGTCAGGAGGGGTGCCTCAGCCAGGGTAGGAAACCCCCGGGAGCCTCTGTGACAGAGGGAGGGACTAACTCGGGGCCTGTCTGACCACCTGGGGGTGCAAACCCTAATGCAGGTTCTCTGCCACATCCCCCAACACACACACAGGACACCGATTGGGACCCCGGAGTTTCTGATGCAAAGACATGGTGGCCCTCCATCACAGGGCTGACAGGAGGATGAACTTGGGACCCTAATCCCGCAAGCCTCCTGCAATGCCATTCTCTGGGCAGCCTCCAAAACCTTCCCACAAGAAAATCCTGACAAGTCGAACCCCAAGGACCTCTCTGGAAGCCCTAATTTATAACCCCTGTCTCAATTAATTAAGATACCGCTGCTGTTCCTTTCAGGTGCAAATGAAACAGCTCAACAGTGCACTGCAATTCAAGTCTGCTTAATTCTCCTAAGCGTCCCTTATCTACTACCAACACTGACAGGAGCAGCCCTCCCCACACACACCCTACCCACCCTCACCTGGTCTGAGTCTTTCATAACCTGAGTTCCCAAGGACTTCACCAACTCAGCTCCCGCCCTACATCCTGCCCTGAGCTCGGGACATGCATGGCTGGGTCAGCATAAGTGGTGGGGACCTGCTAATCACTCAGGTCACAGGAATGGGCTTTCCTTTCAGGGAGAGTTGGGACAAAGACAGGGATGACTGTCTCTTTGGCAAAAAAACGACTTGATTCTCTCTGGGAAAAAAACTTACCAATGAAAGACATCCCCATTTCTCCTCCGATAATCAAATCTCTACCAATCCCTCAGAGACAAGTTTGGGGTCCTCTTCTCCCCCCTCCACAGCCCCCAAAACCCACCCCTTCTTTGAGTTCTGATTCTCTCAAAGGTGATCTGGTCATTTCCTCTTTTTGAGATGCCCCCAATAAAGAAATACAAAATCAGGATGTATCAAAAGTTGTGGCTTATTTTAAATGACTACATGTAACAAATTCAATAGTTTAACAATAAAGAAAATGCAATGCAATATAATTATGTTGTGTTGGTTCCAAGATAACTATAGGATTTATAAAATTTATGAATGTATAATGTACCCGAGGCAGTCTCATCCAATTGTGATACACAATTGTGTTTAAAGCTGGAGAATGAACTTCATTCTGTCCCATTACTGTCTCTCTGTGACCTTCGCATACACCTTTATTTGGTGATAGTGTCAAAAGTTGAAAAGCCCTTCACGAATGTGATGTCCGGACCAAATGAGTCCCTTCCCCAACACCGCAGGCTCCCGTTAGAGGCCCTATTTGAACTCCTAACATCTGACTCAGTTTTACCATTGGCTTAAAAGCCCCTAGTGGACATTCGTTACATTTGTGACTGTCCGCCACCTTGTGAACAACTCTCCCATGTTTGGGGAGTTTCCTTCATTAGGAATTCCGTCTCTCTAAGGTATTAATAGAAGGAAAAACTAGCTTTCCAAGCCTACCTTGCGTCCAGGCTCCAGGTATGAGACCAAGTTTTCCTCAACTAGATGCACTCAAGTGGAGAGATTTGGAAAGAGAGCCATGTGAGAAGGTGGGTAATGCAGATTCAATTCTTTGGAAATGTTGGCAGCAGAGGAATTGGCTTTGGGATGACACCAGTGGCACAGCTTCTAGTTCACAGTTTCCAGTGTCTTGGGCACCATCTACACTGGCAGTAGACACAAAATAGAGAGGGAACCAGACCTGTGTGCTTCCTTGTACAACACCACTTATGAAGTGATCCTGTTAAAATAATCAACTTTGAACCTGGGCCAGTTTCTAGATCTAACTATATAGTAACAGAAAATGCAAGAACAGAAGGATATGTTAAAAAATATTTTAGGGATGTAATCAGGAAAAATCCAGACTGTGAGAAACTACGGGGCAAACAACCTGGTTTCTCCAACCAAAAAATTGCAAGGAATAAAAAAATTCAGAGAGAAAGCCTGTAGTCTGAAAAAAAACTCAGTGGACATATCAACTAATCATACTATATGGCTTTTATTTGAATCCTAATTCAAACAAATGAACTGTAAACACAAACTAAGACATAAAAAGGATGTGAGATAATTAAGGACATTTATACGCTGACAATATTTGATGATATCAGAAATACTGTTAAATTTTTAGGTGTG